TAGAGGAGGAAAGGCAGGAGCAAGGAGGAAGAAGGGGACCCGTGCGTAGGCTTGTCCTTCAAGGAAAAGGGAGGAGGGGGTTGCGTGAGGCGTCCGCAAGGGGAGCGTGGCGCGGGGGTGCATGGAGGGGGTGGGGACCGAAGCCTGGGGACGACGGGTGCGGGGAAGCGGGGGCCGGGGGAGGACCAGGTGTGATCGGGGGCGTGCGCGATCCATCCGTGATTCAACGCGGGCTTGGTTGGGTCGGTTTCGCGCGCGCGGAGCTGCTTTCCGTTTTTGGCCGTCTGGTCACGCGCGCGGGCGGTTCCTTCCTTTTTTGGGAGAGCGCTCGGGGCTGCGATCGGGCGCCCGTGCACCCGCGAGCCACGTCTTTTTTTAATCGGTCAGCGAGCGGGCTGTCCGTCCGGACATTTGAGACGAGAAGCACACCGATTTGAGGCGTAATATGCTCTTACATATCTCAACACATCTCTTGGCCAATTCCGGGCAGAGGGATAGGCCCCGCCGGGTCGACAGGAGATAGCGACGGAGGACCGGCCGGGAACTCCACCGCAGGCGTGCTACGCGCGGAGCGTTGTTTAATGAACACATATGGTTGTCACCACGCAAGCATGAACATATCTACCCGCTCACGAACCCCGACGACGATTCCTCCTCCCGTGGCCGCACGTCAGTGACACGAGGCCCCGTCAGAGAGCCAGATCCCGCACCGAGAGTTTCTCAGTCACGCATCGCTATCGGAATCTGGACCTTTTCCACGTCACGGCCAGCTACGGGAGAGCCAGCCGCCATTGGCATTGGCACCACTCCACTCCACCACCACCAGACCCGTGCCAATCCCACACTCCAGTCTCCTTCTCATCCATCTAACCACCCCTGAGCTAATCCAGCTCCGTCTCCCTCGCTCTTCGGTTGTAGAGTACCACAGCTCAGGCCATGGCCTCCTCGCTGCTTCGCCGCGCGGCCGCCGGCCGCGGGCGGTGTCCGTCGCCGGCGGAGGCGCTGCGGAGGCTGGTGTCCTCGGAGGCGGCGCCGGAGCAGGCCCTACCGCGGCCTCTGCGGGAGATGCCGCCGTTCGACCACCGGCCGAGCCCGTACGCTGGGATGGGCGGCGCCGAGATCCTCGAGAAGCGGAAGAAGTTCCTTGGCCCCTCCCTCTTCTACTACTACCAGAAGCCGGTACTTTCATAACTCGTATGCATATTCTTCTGTTGCTTCGTCGCGGCGATTGCATAGAAAAAGACGAGATTTGTGCCTTCGCGTGCTCGAAACCAATCCTCTTAATTAGTAGGAGGGTAAATAAATTTTGATGTAGGAGATGATGTATGAACTGCATCAATCATCATGTAAGATTGGGTTCGATATTTTGCCACTCCTATCACTGTCTCGCTCACACGCTGCCCCTCCCGGGACCCACATGTCAGTGAAACATCAGGTGACACATTTTATTTTTTGAAGGCATCGATATCAAGTGATACCTACTAAAACGCCAAATAAGTATCGGTGCCAAATTTCCAAAGGCCCCGATCGAAGTCAATAGTACTATGTGTGAAATACTAGTGTACAAGATGTCTGAAGATATTTATGGCAGTATAAAATTAAAGTACCATCTTGATTCCGTTGTGATCTGTATTCGCAGCTCAACATCGTCGAAGGGAAGATGCAGTACCTGTACGACGAACAAGGCAAGAGATACCTCGATTGCTTCGGAGGCATCGTCACGGTGTCATGTGGCCATTGCCACCCTGATATTGTCAAGGCCGTGCAGGAGCAGACCAAGTTGCTTCAGCACACCACCACCATATACTTGCATCATGCCATCGTCGAGTTTGCCGAGGCGCTTGCCTCGAAGATGCCAGGCAATCTCAAGGTAAAGAAATACTTCCTTCCTTCAGTGGCCCAGTGCTACTAGAAGTTACGACATGGATGGACTCGACAACGAGAAGGGAGTGTGAGTGTCTCATATTTTGGGATGGTATGCAGGTTGTGTACTTCGTCAATTCTGGGACCGAAGCGAATGAACTAGCAATGTTGATGGCTCGGCTGTACAGCGGGAATCTCGGTATGATTGCATTGAGAAATGGATACCACGGTGGGAGTGCTGGAACAATAGGTCTCACGGGTTTGCAGACGTGGAAGTACCCGATTCCTCAGGTGTGTGTCTGATTGTTAAGAGATACAAAATGACACAGATTTGCAGTGCAAGTCTTTTTTCCAGTTCAATCGATGTACTTGAAAAGATTGACCTATATATTGTTAGAATTTACATTTTAGCAATGCTAAAATTAACACTGAAGCTCAAAAGTATTTCGATATCTATTTTTTTGTCGGGGGTGCATTATGAGTTTCATCTCAGTTAGTTAATCCGCCCATGTAGTGTGAAAAATGAGGGGAGGGAACCTATAGTGCATTCTTGCACATTTTTTCAATATGACCATCTGTAGTTGTTTAAATTGTTTCTTACTTATGGGCCATTTATTTCTCATTCGCAGGGTGAGATTCATCATGTCATGAATCCGGATCCTTACCGTGGAGCTTTTGGGTCTGATGCTGCAGCTTATGCCAGGGAAGTCGAAGAACACATAAATTTTGGCAGTTCAGGAAGGGTTGGAGGTTTTATCGCAGAAACTTTCCAAGTATGACGAATTTAAAGTTGTACATTATACTGTAAAAAACTGATAATATAGTTTTATCCAGCTTTTATTCAGATGTTTTTTTTCTTGTACGGGGGAATCCAGATGACCGAACTCATATATCAGTTTTCTCATTAATGAACATGATTGCAGGGTGTAGGAGGTACTATTGAACTAGCTCCTGGATACCTGAAGTCGGTCTATGATACTGTCCGGAAGGCGGGTGGTGTCTGTATAGCTGATGAAGTCCAAAGTGGTTTTGGCCGTACTGGAAGTAACTACTGGGGATTCCAGACGCAGGATGTCATCCCTGACATTGTAACGATGGCAAAGGTTCGTGGTAACAGGAAAAACTCTGCCTCGAAGGTTTCATTATGTTGACAGTATCAATCAATATTAATGATTTTTTTTCTTTATTTCTAGGGAATCGGCAACGGTCTACCACTCGGTGCAGTTGTAACAACTCCTGAGATTGCTAGCGTGATGGCTCAGAAGATCCAGTTCAACACATTTGGTGGGAACCCTGTCTGTTCTGCTGGTGGATTGGCTGTGCTCAAGGTTCTCGACAAGGAGAAACGGCAGGCGCATTGCGCAGATGTCGGCGCTCACTTGGTGGAACGTCTGAAATCTCTTCAGCAGAAGCATGAAAGTAAAATGTCCCATCTTTTGGTCCATTTGAAGTAACCATTTCGGTCAACTGTTTGATTTTGGATTCGAGTTAATCTAACCGATCGATGATTATCCATCCCTTCGCCTTGCTTCTGCTCAGTCATTGGAGATGTCAGAGGAAGGGGGCTGATGCTTGGGGTGGAGCTCGTCACTGACAGGACGGAGAAGACACCGGCCAAGGCTGAGACCGCTGTTCTGTTTGAGAAACTCAAGGGTAATAATTAGCCCACATTCCTTACCTCCATGATCTCAAAATGTTTTCTTCTACAACCCCCTAAAATAGTTCTCTTGTTCTACCAGATCTTGGTGTTCTAGTCGGCAAAGGCGGTCTCCACGGCAACGTCTTCAGGATAAAACCACCTATGTGCTTCTCCAAGGACGATGCAGGTCAGTAGCTCAGCTATCTCCACAAGATCCCCGTTACATTTCTGCATTGCTCGTAGAGACTGACTAACCGAGCTCTGGTTACTGCAGATTTCTTGGTGGACGCCATGGACTATGCGATGTCAGGGTTCTGAGGACCCTGAACGTTCTTGTGCCTGCCCCTGAACCGTCACCGGGCGGCTGCGCGGAGTGCATGGGGATGCCCTGGTGCTGGTAGCATGGTACGTGCCCATCGCTGGGCTGCGTCACTGCGTGTTTGCACACAAGGCATGTATATGTATGCTGCGTGCCCGGGTGACTATGTTTGTGATGGTGAAACGCAACCCCTACCCAGGGATGAATAAATGGAGGAAAGCATCAGAAATGCGCAATGTGCTGTCTGGCTTATCTGCTGTTTTTCTGTAGGGATATCTGAAATCCAATGGGTGTCGGAGTAAATAACCATGGGTAGCCTAGCCAACTCCCCCTGGCCCTTCTGAAAAAATTACGAGCTGATTCGGCCCTCAAGAATCCAAGACACAGGGCCGCCTTCCCCTTGTCGGCTGTCTCCAGGCCGACTATCGGAAGGCGGCCCGACTTCAGCCCTCATGAAGAGAAGCCGCGGGAGGGCCGGCTCCGAGAAGCCGGCCGCGAGAAGGCCGACTCCAAGAAGCCGGCTTCCATAAAGCGGTCAAGATCGTACCCTCGAAGTCTGCATCCACATAACGGCGATGTGACGGGGCGTGGCTACAGTGAAGCCTGCCACCCCCGAATACCGGAGCACGCCTGGCACAGTGCGCCGTACGGGTGGCCATGACCCGTCCGGCGCAGCACTATTGCCACGTTGACCCTGATGTCATCCACGACGGGCTACCAGTACGGCCCACGGGCGGTGGGCCCCTTCGGGCAGAGAGACACCCGAAGGCGGCCAGACCTCCCCCCGTCGGCCCAAGATAGAGCCGGCTCCCCACAGCCGGCTTGCCACCTCCCTCGAAGAAGACGCCCCATTAAGGAGACAAGACGCGGTGGGGCTACAGTGATCGCCCATCGGGCGGCGGCACTGTAGCCACACCCACTTCGGCGAAGCCCTCGCCACCAAGATTGAGCAACAGTAACCAGCCGCCGACAAGGCCCTGACAGTGGGGCCTGCCTGTCGACCAAGGAGCCGGTAGCCGGCGGGACCCACTAGTCGGCGGGCCCCAGCAGCCGGCGCAGAAGCCGGAGAGCGTAGACACAGACGGCTGGGCCCCGCGCCCAGCCGGATTACCATTGTACCCTGGAGGGTAGGCCTATATAAACCCCCCGGGGCATCCATGCAAAGAGAGATCAATCCCTGCTAGTCTCAGACACCACATAGGGAGGAGAAGAGAGCAAGCCGTGCCCTTCTTCCTCCTCTCGCCAAACAGCTCAAGGAGTATCGTGTAGCTACTTGTTCATCTAGTGACCATGCGGAGACCCCGCAGAGCAGCAGTAGGGGTGTTATCTCCACGGAGAGCCCCGAAGCTGGGTAAGATTCGCCGGCGTGCATGTCTTCGCCTCATCCTGTTTCCAGGCACCGGCGACGTCTTACTGGCTCCCACAATGATAAGCTATCCGTTGGCATATGTCGCACCTACCACCCGACATTTGGCGCGCACCGTGGGGCCAGGTGCACCGCCGTCCGGAGACCTGTTCTGGACGGGAACCCTCTTCCTCCCCAGCGAGCGTAGCCAGCCCGGCACGCCCGATGGCGCTTGCCACAACGTGCTACAAGGCGTCACCAACATCTGTGCGGTGAGCAGCCTCGCCGATCTCCTTGACAAGACTCTCATCTCTGACGAGCTCGCCTCCGACGCGGGCACCGACCACCTCGTCAACCTCCTCGGCCAGCTCCACGTCTCCGGCGAACCTGCCGTGGACTTGGAGTCGGTTGGCTCCACCGATCCGATGCCTGTCGACTCCGACACGTTCCCCACCAACGTCGCGATCTACAACGACCCGCTTCCTCGGGCCGATGGCTGCGACGCTGTCACCACCGAGGTGATGGTCATCGGCCACGGCGGCGCTTCTGACGAGAGCGCCCACGACGCCCCGCACGCGGCGGTCCACGACTTGTCCATCCCCCTCCTAGCCGATGCCGACGCTGAAGCACTGGAAGCTCGCCGCCTTGCCCTCCTCGCGGAGGGCCGGAAGTTGGTTTCCATGAGACGCCTCGCTGAGGCCCACCGACGCGAGGCCGATCGCGCCGCCTTTGGCACGCCGCCCCCAGGTGGGCCTAGCCAGGCCGGCATTGTCAGACAGCGCGGCGCTGTCGTCGCAGATACGCTAGGACTCGACCGCCCAGTCTACGCTACTCCACTCGAGAACCTGCACGCCGCCCAGGCGGCCGTAGACGAGCTAGATGGACTGGGGGCCGAAGAACTCCCCCGCCTGACCCGACGCATCCAGCAGCTGATCAATGCATCCGCGCAGCGGCATGAAGCCGACGCCCGCGCGGAAAGCCCTCCCCCACGCCGAGATCACGGCGCGACGTCCCGGACGCCGACTACGGGTAAAACCCGCGCGCGGCGCGAGAAAGACCCGGCTGCCAACCGAAACCGAACCCGAATCTCCATCGAGCGAGACGCAGAAGGCCACCCCCGAGCCGTGGAGTGGCGGGGCAACCTGCCTCTGCCCCGGCCCCGTGGAGAGAGATATCCCACCCCGCCGCCTGTTGCGCATCCGACTCTCAGCGGCCGGCTAGGTCGCCGCGAAGGAGTGGGCGAGAACGACGCCCGCCATCGGATCGACCGCCTGGCACGATCCCTGGCGCTAGAAGAAGAAGACGATGTCGGCCCGCCTTGCTTCGGCCTCCGCATCCGCGATGAACCTTTCCCCAAAGGGTTCTCGCTCCCAAGAGACACGCCCAAGTATAACGGCTCCGTGAAGCCGGAAGATTGGTTGATCGACTACTCCATGGCGGTTAGCATAGCTAGCGGCAACAGGCGCGTTGCCGTGAAGTACGTGCCCCTCATGCTGCAGGGCACGGCGCGGACCTGGCTCAACAGCCTCAAGCCATACAGCATCAACAGCTGGCTAGACTTCACAGAAGCCTTCGTCCGCAACTTCACCAGCACCTACAAGCGGGCTCCCAAGCCCAGACAGCTCTCCTTGTGCGTACAAGGCCCCGCCGAGTCCACTCGCGACTACCTCACGCGTTGGGCCGAGCTCCGCAACTCTTGCGAAGGGGTGCACGAGGTGCAAGCCATATAATACTTCACGGCCGGGTGCCGAGAAGGCACCCTCCTCAAGCACAAGCTCCTCTGCGATGAGCCGACTACCCTCGACGAGCTTCTGATCATAGCGGACAAGTACGCCACCGCCGACTCCTCGATGAAGACCGAACTCCGGGTAGACGCGTCCGGAAAGGTACTCAACCCGGCGCCCAAGACGCCGGCTGGGGACTCCGGCCGACGCCCACACCAAAACGACCAAAAGCGCAAGGGCCCGGTGCCGCCCTCCACCAGTCGGCAGGTGGCCACAGTCGAAGACTAGCAGCCCGAAGCGCGCCCACACCCAAGAAGCAGAGGGGCGGCAAGCCGGCTTGGCAGCAGGCCTTCTCCTACGAGCAGACTCTCGATGCCCCGTGCAAGTTCCACAGCGGCGCGAAGCCGTCCAACCACACGACCCGGAAGTGCCACTGGCTCACCCGAATCTCTAAAGGTGAAGGGCTCACACCGCCTCCGCCTGCCGGTCCGCCGCCGCCGGCCGCTCGGCCCGCAGTCAGAGCCGTGCACGATGAGTTCCCCGACGAGCATGCCGCCTATATCATCTTTACAAGTCATCCCGAAGACCGGCGCAGCAAACGCCAAGAGCACCAAGAAGTCAGCATGGTTGCTGCCAACCCCGCCGAGCACATGCACTGGTCAGAAAAACCTATCAGCTGGAGCCGGATCGACCACCCAGAGGTGATGCCATCTCCCGGCTCTTATGCGTTGGTTTTGGATGCCACCCTTGCAACGGATAGACGCGCTGCCCGATTCTCCCGCGTGCTGATAGACGGCGGGAGCAGCATCAACATCCTGTACCGTGACACCATGGAGAAGCTGAATGTCAAGACGAAGCAACTCATGCCTACTCGGACTGTGTTCCATGGCATCGTACCTGGCCTGTCCTGCGCCCCCATTGGCAAGATCAAGATTGATGTACTTTTTGGGGACAAGGAGCATTTCCGCCGGGAAGCGATCTGGTTTGAAGTGGTGGACCTGGAGAGCCCTTACCATGCATTGCTTGGCCGACCTGCCTTGGCCAAGTTCATGGCAGTTCCCCACTATGCATACCTCAAGATGAAGATACCGAGCACCAAAGGCGTCATCACCATAGCCGGCGATTACAAGAAGTCCTCTGAGTGCTCAGCAGCCAGCAGTCGGCTGGCCGAGTCCCTTGTGATTGCCGAAGAAAAGAAGATGTTGGACCGAGTCGTGGCCATGGCCGGCAAGCAGTCGGCCTTGTCCCCCGATCCCAAGGAGCATGATGCTCAAGGATCTTTCCAGCCGGCCAAGGAGACGAAGAAGATACCTCTTGACCCCGAGCACCCAGAGAGGTTTGCCGTCATCGGGGCAAACCTAAACAGCAAATAGGAAGGCGAGCTCGCCGATTTCCTCCGTGAGAATCGGGACATCTTTGCATGGTCCCCCAAGGACATGCCGGGCGTTCCGAAGGAATTCGCCAAGCACAAACTACACGTCCGAGAAGACGCAAAGCCAGTCAAACAACCCCTCCGCCGGCTGTCGGAGGAGAAACATAGGATTGTGGGAGAGGAGATAGCCCGGCTTCTGGCAGCCGGCTTCATTATGGAAGTTTTCTTTCCAGAGTGGCTCGCCAACCCGGTCCTCGTGCTAAAGAAGAACAACAAGTGGCGCATGTGTATAGACTACACGAGCCTCAACAAGGCCTGCCCCAAAGATCTCTTTGCCCTGCCAAGGATTGACCAAGTGATAGACTCCACGGCCGGATGCGAGCTGTTGAGTTTCTTGGATGCTTACTCAGGGTATCACCAGATAAAGTTAGATCCGGCAGACCGCTTGAAGACCGCCTTCATCACGCCATTCGGAGCCTTTTACTACCTGACTATGACATTCGGCTTGAGAAATGTCGGTGCCACTTTTCAGCGTTGCATGCAGAAGTGCCTCCTCAA